AGGCTCCATGCAGGGAGCTTGATGTGGGACTTGATCCTGGGACTCCAGGATCATGCTCTGGGCCAAAGGCAGGCACCAAACCTCTGAGCCACCCAGGTGCCCCTCTGACTATTCTTTTTTTTTTTTTTCTTACCATTTAGCACTTTATTTTTTTATTATTTTTTAATAATAAATTTATTTTTTATTGTTGTTCAATTTGCCAACATACAGAATAACACCCAGTGCTCATCCCGTCAAGTGCCCCCCTCAGTGCCCGTCACCCACTCACCCCCACCCCCCGCCCTCCTCCCCTTCCACCACCCCTAGTTCGTTTCCCAGAGTTAGGAGTCTTCATGTTCTGTCTCCCTTTCTGATATTTCCCATTCTATTTAGATTACACTCACTGCAATTAGATCTTTGAGAATTGAGTCGCACTTACATCAGGATAACAATAAGGGTACAGGTTTACACATAAATTCAGGTTAAGAACCGAAGATAACAAGGTTCTGGTGAATCACCCACAGCAAATGACATCAGCCTTACAGATGCCATCCGGTCATAAAAAGCGATCAAATCTCCTGATAATCCAATTTCCAAATTATTAATCTAGATTTTGTTTAGGCGAATACTGCAATTAGACATTTATAGTAATTAAGATCAATTACTTGAACCTTTTTTAACTAGCAGCTTTATTGAGATGTAATTCAGATATAAACTCCCACTTGAACATTCCCACTTCTTCCCCCCCCCCAGCCTTCTGTGTGTGTTTTTCTTTTTAAAAAGGTCCTATTAAGGAAACGCAACTTTGAAAGTCAACAGTCCTGAAGTTGGATTCTCATGACTCCTATCTTGAATCACTTTCCACCAAAAGAGGAACGCATGTTTTTGTCCTGTAGCTTCTCATTGACAAAAATAAAATTTGCTGTTCTTGCCACGCGTCAGTGGCAGCACATTCAGCCGGTTTCCAAAGAAGTGAGTCAAGCTGCCAACGACGCAACTTTCCATCGCAACGACCCTGAGATCCAGCGGCGAACGGCCGCGCACCGCGGGGTGGAACGTTCGAGCCCCGGACGGAAAGCAGCGGGCTGGGGGCCAGCGGTGAGCTCCCGCCGGGCAGGGACTTCGCCATGGAGCCGGAGCAGGGGCGGGGAGGGAAGGGCCTCCCTCCCGAGGCCCCGGTCCCGCCGGGAGCCCGCTGCGCCCGGGCCAGGGCCGCCGCCAGGTGCGCATCGCCCCCGCGCCGAGGGGGAGCCGGCGCCCCGGGCCCCGAGGGCTTCCCCGCGCTGGGAGGGGGAGGGGGAGGGGGAGGGGGAGGGGGACGGGGGAGAGGGAGGGGGAGGGGGGGCGCCGGGCCGGACGCCGCTCCGACCCCCGCGCGCCCTCGGCCGCCCCCGCCCCGCCCCGCCCCCCGCGCCCCCGCGCGCCCTCGGCCGCCCCCGCGCCCCCGCTCGGCCCGCCCCGGCCCGCCCCCCGCGCCCGGACGCCCGCCTGCGCCGCGGGCCGAGTGCAGGGCGCGGGGCGGCCCGCTCGGCTCCTCCGCTCCCGCCCGGCGCTCGGGCCCAGCCGCCGCCGCCGCCGCGCGCGCCCCTCCTGGAGGAGGAGGAGGAGGAGGAGGAAGGAGGCGGGAGGAGGAGTTGCGGGAGAGGAGGGACGAGCGCGGCAGTCGCGCCGGCGCTGGGCGAGGAAGCGGAGCGGGCCGCCGCCGGGTGAGCGTCCGCGGAGCCGCGTCGGAGGCTGCGTCTGGGCTTCGCTTTCCGCTGCGTCGGCCGCGAGGCCGGGGCGGGGGCCGCTTCTCCCGTCGCGCGGCCCGGGGGCTGGGGAGGCCGCCCCGCGCGCCTGCAGCCGAGGTCCCCGCGCGGGGCCCGGCCGGGTGCGCGGGCGGGGGGGGGCCGGCCGGCGGGGAGCGGCGCGCGGGGGGCCGGGCCGGGCGGGGGCCGGGCGGGGGCCGGGCGCGGAGGGCCGAGGCCTGCTTCCGCCGAGCGCCGCGCGCCCCCTCGGCCTCCCGGTCCGCCGCGCGCCGCCCGGGCCTCCGCCTTTGTTGCCCGCGGCCCCGCCGGCGAGAGGCCGGGGCTCGGCGAGGCCTGGGACGGCGGCGCGGGGCCTGCGCGGCTCCCCCCCGCCCCCCGCCCCCCGGGAGGTCGCGCGGGCCGGGGGGAGCCGGGGGAGCGGGGGGAGCCGGGGGGAGCCGGGGGAGCGGCGAGGGCGGCGCGTGACGGGGCCGCGGGACCCACAGGCCTTGGTTTTCAGTCCGCTCCCGGAGTTGGCGACTTGGTGCCACCGTGGTGGCTCGTCTCGGGCGCAGGTACCGACGTTCCCCGGCGGCGGGTCCCGGCGCAAAACTTGGGCTGCGCGCGGCCGGCCGGGCGCCAACTTCCCGCGTGGGGGTGCGCACCCCGGCGTCGCCGGCCCCGCTTCCCGGGATTAGGGGCCGGGCGGGCTGTGGGGTGAACCTCGGGCTTCCGGGAGCGGCGCGCGTAGCGTTGAGGCCGGCCCCACCGTGTTTCCCGGTGTCTGCCTGGACGAGGCAGCCCGCGGCGCCGTGAGGACCCGAGGACCGAGCGGTGACCACCGAGCGGTGACACCGAGGGACACCCGGGCGCTGCCAGACGCGGCTCCCGTCGTCCGTGTCTTGGAATCACGGTCCGTTCGCGACCCGACAAAGTGGGCGCCACCGCCTTCGGGACCCCACGTCTGAGGTGCTCGCCACCGTGGGAGGCCGGCCTGGATCCTGACTTAGAAGCCCAGCACGGTGCAGCCTGAGATCCACCGCGCTCACTTGAATGAATGGATTCTAAAGGGAACACCTAGTGCCGTGGGGAGTCGTTATTTATTTCATTTTGTGAAGGTTTCATTTATTCATGAGACGCCCAGAGACACGGGCAGAGGGAGAAGCAGGCTCCGTGCAGGGAGCCCGGTGCGGGACTCGATCCCGGGACCCCAGGATCATGCCCTGGGCCGAAGGCGGGCGCTCAGCCGCGGAGCCACCCAGGCCTCCCGAGTTATCATCGTTGTTTGAAAGCATCAGTGGGGGCAGCCCGGGTGCCCCGGCGCTTGAGCACCTGCCTTCGGCCCAGGGCCTGGTCCTGGAGACCCGGGATCGAGCCCCACATCGGGCTCCCTGCATGCAGCCTGCTTCTCCCTCTGCCTCTCTCATGGATAAATAAGTAAAATCTTTAAGAAGAGAAATAAAAGCATCAGTGGTATTGTTTACAAGCTTCCCAGGTAGCCTGTGGTACTTCTCTTTTCCTGTGTGCTTTCTAGTTTTCCTCACTGCTGCATCACCTGGCAGTGGATGCGGTTGACTTTCACCGTCTGCCCCTGTTCTAAGCCCCGCGGGTCACCCCAGCCCCTTCTGTACCTTCCCTGGTGTTTTCTCCTTGTCTTTGGGGAAGCTGGCTCACCCACCGTCCCTTGATAACGGTTCTCAGAAGAACTTACTCTCTGGGGTTTTTTTTTTTTTATTTATTTATGATAGAGAGAGAGAGAGAGAGAGAGAGAGAGGCGGAGACACAGGCAGAGGGAGAAGCAGGCTCCATGCACCGGGAGCCCGACGTGGGATTCGATCCCGGGTCTCCAGGATCGCGCCCTGGGCCAAAGGCAGGCGCCAAACCGCTGCGCCACCCAGGGATCCCACTCTCTGGGGTTTGACAAGTACTTTCCACTGTTTGTTTTGGTTAAGGATGAACCTTTACCCTTTAAGGGTCTCCAGGGAACATCTCTTTTGAAATACTTTTCCCTTTTATTAGGCTCTTTAGATGCCACCTAAATTGGTACCTGGCACTGCCCATTTCCCCATCTTTTAGTGACAAGATAGGGGCTCCCCAGGACTTAGGGGCTCACCCTCAGTGTCACGTGGTACCCTCCCAAGGCAGCACCTTCCAGGGAGTGAGAGGGAAAGGGTTTGGGTGTCCCTGACCTAGGTCGCACCATGACCTGGGAGGACAAGGTCTGCTGTGCTGCCTGGGGTCCTACTCATTTTGCCATCTGAGTATCCCTTTCAGTGGCCTTTTTGGGGAACAGAAACAAGGGTCTGCCTAAGACTGTCTTGTGTAACTTCTCAGAGAAAACTCTGGTAGTTTTCTCCGTTGTGATCAGTTTTCAGGAAACGTTTGTGTTATTAATAGTAAATATCAGGTGCCTGCATGGCTCACAGTTGAGCATCTGCCTTTGGCTTGCATGATCCCAGGGTCCTGGGATCGAACCCTGTGTTAGGCTTCCTCTCCCTCTGCCTGCTGCTCCCCCTGCTTGTGTTTTCTCTCTGTCCAATGAGTGAGTAAAATCTTTAAAAAAAATAGTAAATATTTTTTATTTTGCTCGTAGAAGTAATTGCATGATCTTATTTAAAAGTCACAATATAGTCTGAAAAAAGGAAACGTTATGTCCATTTCTGAATTTGTGGTAGTTACTGTCTTTCTCTCAAGAATATACCGTCATGTGGAATGGGTTGATAAACAAGTATGTTGACTGTGAGGTCAGGCACCCCATGTTATTTATATGTAGTATAACTAGTAGTGTGCATGCATTGATTTTGACGTTTAATAGGGTAGGTAGGTAAGTAAATGACCAAGCTAAGATCACCTTTTTCTGTTTTGTTTGTTGCATCTTTTATGGGAAGTGAAGATTATTTCAGTTCTTGGTCCTCATCCCTAATCTTTTTCCAGTTTTGGAAATGGCACATCTGTGGTGCCTGAGTATTTTTGTAAAATTACTGCTTTTACAAGGGAGACATTTATAATACTAGTGTATGTCATAGAAAGGGGGAACTTTCTTGTATGACTAGACAGATCGAAAGAGGAGTTCAGGGGATCCCTCGGTGGCGCAGCGGTTTGGCGCCTGCCTTTGGCCCAGGGCGCGATCCTGGAGACCCGGGATCGAGTCCCACGTCGGGCTCCCGGTGCATGGAGCCTGCTTCTCCCTCTGCCTGTGTCTCTGCCTCTCTCTCTCTCTCTGTGACTATCATAAATAAATAAAAATTAAAAAAAAATTAAAAAAAAAAAAAAAAAAAAAAAAAAAAAAGAAAGAGGAGTTCACACAGTAAAAGTGAAACCGCATTGGGACATATTTTAAATTGTATTGACAGTGAAATTGTCATTAATGTTTTTGTGGTTAATTTGGTATTCTGTAGAGTACACTGGTTTAGCAAACAAAAAAGTGAAGGCATTAGAACCAAGGGCACATTTTACTTGAAACCCACTTGAGGGTCTCTGATGACACATACAAACATGAAATTTTTCTTGATTATTTTTTGGTGGCTGTTGGTCTTACTGATGTTTGAAGAGTAGACATATTCAGATAAAGTCCTTTAAGGTTTGAATTCTTGTGTTGCATACTGAGGACTTTTTGGAGGTGTTTGATCTTCAGTATACATTACTAGCTTTGTGACCTTGCACACATTCTACCTCCTCTCCGAGCCTTAACTTCTTCTGTGGGGCTCAAGTGAGGGTATTAAATCTGCCTGACAGAGTTGTTGTGAGCATATATTGTGTTTAAAGTAAAATCCAGGGCAGCCCTGGTGGCTTAGCGGTTTAGGGCCGCCTTCTGCCCAGGGCGTGATCCTGGAGACCCGGGATCAAGTCCTACGTCAGGCTCCCTGCATGGAGCCTGCTTCTCCCTCTGCCTGTGTGTCTGCCTCTCTCTCTCTCTCTCTCTCTCTCTCTCTCTGTCTCTGTCTCTGTCTGTCTCTCTCTGTCTCTAATAAATAAATAAAAAATCTTAAAAAAAAAAATAAAGTAAAATCCAAACTCTCCGCCATGGGCCATGTGATTTCTGCCTAGTTCTTCAGTTCATCTTGACCAACTCTCTCTTCCTCACCACGGAGTCACCCTGTAGCCCTTCTGCGTTCTCTCACATTCCGGGCTGCTGCTGGCTTCCTCATCTTTGATAGGGTAGTTCTGTTTGCCTGGAACATTCTTATGGTTGATTCCTTCTCAGATCTTAATGCCAGGTTCACTGCATCAGGGAAGTCTCTCCTGGCTACTCCTCATACAGCTCCTTCAGTGGTCCCATCTTCCCTGTTTGTATGTTTTCATCATAACATTTACCGCAGTCTGTATTTTTTCTTTTGGTCTTTCTCCTTATGTAAGTCCTACGTGGGCAGAATGTGGTCCGCGGTTCTTCTGTGTCTCCCTAACACATCCTGTGGGGACACGATGTACAGAAAGTTGTATTTACGTTATTATCTACACATTAAAGGCAGGGATGTGCTGTGTAGATGGTGAGAAATCTGTTGGTTTTTTTGTGTTGCTTATTTATGCCATTCTGAGCTGATCTGCTCACCTGAATAAATCACAGCATGAATAAGACCAAAATTATTATAACTTTAGGCCCCAAGTCACCCTACCTACACGCAGAGAACTGTTGTGTTTTTTGTTTTGTTTTGTTTTGTTTTTTAAGTCAGCTCTGCTTCCGGCAGGGCTCCCAAATTCACGACCCCAAGAGCAAGAGTTGCATGCTCAACTGATGGAGCCAGCCAGATATGGCCAATCAGACATGGGGCTGATTGATTTACATGTCCAACTGGCCGTTCACGAAGACCCACAGGCCTTTGTCACTTCTGGAAGCATAGTTATCTATAGCGTGTGGAGAGTCACAGCTCCAAAGCACATTTCCCTTGATGTTAGCTCACATAGCTTGGTAAGGCAAACCCTCGGTTATCTGGAACCTCTGGCATCCTCAGCTACATGTTGCGGAATTCAGCAGGAGGAAAAAAGCCTCGAGAAACCTCAGTTGGAATCAGACAAGTCGGAAGCTTAGATAACTGACTGGCTAGTGAAGGCAGTCTTGAGAAGGCTGCAGATCTAGCTCTGTGACTTCATAGGGTAGGTTTTTAAAATATATTCTGTCCAATTGCTTTATCCATAAAATAATAATGCCTTTCTCAGCATTGTTGTGGAAATTAAATGAGAAAATGCATGTAAATGTATGGGTTCAGTGCCTGGAATATAGTAAATGCTAATAGTAATAATTAGTTTAAAATAAACTGAATAGTTAAAGGGAGCAGTCTGGGTAATCGGTAACATGTGTGTAAGACTTGGTTTTTCTTGTTAAGGTAGTCTTGTGTGGGGAAAGTGCATAAGACCAAGGGGACAAGAAAAACGAAAATAAAGGAGGAAAGACAATGGGAGCCCACAGAAGTATTAACGGCGCCAGCTACTAAAATCGGGAAGGTTACAAATGTGAGCAGCTATTGAGTTGCTTGGCACTGGGTCACTGCAGTCAGGTGATGGAAGATGTAGAACAAAAAAGGTACTGCTCTCAGCCTTCTGCAAAGCCTCAGGCTCTTGTTTTCACACTCTTGTGATATATATGTATTTTTTTTTATCACTGTTAACAGCCATCACACTGAAATGTTCTCTTAAAATTATTAAAAGGGCATCACACTTGGAGACTATGTTTGGGGAGCGGTGGCTATCCCATTGTCCTTGGGAGCAGACTGTTTAGTAGAGAAGAAAGAAAGAAGAAAAGACGGCATATCTCTGAAGGCCCGGGAGACAAACCGTTATCTGAGCATCAGTAAACCTGAAGACGTCACTATGCCATCCTGAAATTTTCCAACAGGTAAATTTGGTCATTTGTAGAGGCATCTGTCTATATATAGCACTTCAGTGACAGCATGAGATTATATTGGATACACATGCTTGTGTTTAAGGGTTCCCTTTGAAGAGAACAGAGGAATATATGGCTCCTAATAGGAAAGATTTCCATCAAAAACAATTTTAAGAATTTGATGTTATTCTGTAGGATGATTTAGAAAAGGTGTATTTGTCACGTGCTCTGGATAGCCTATTATTTGGCAGTGCTGATGGTGGTTCTCCTAGCGATAGGTGTTATTCTGGGTACCCCAGAAGCACTGGATGGTTGAAGCAGCAAGGTGAATACACCTGGAAGTAAGATGAATTCTCTTGGGGAGACTGTTACTTTGTATGATTTTCCTTTTGCAAATTTTGTTTTGGTGTTTCTAGTAATGAGATGATTCTTACTAAAGCTTAATTTTGGTTTTAAAGGAAATGTCATCCCCGCGACAACAGTCATTTTTATCTGTTGACATTGCGTTTGAAAGTGGGAAAAAATATACTTGGGGAATAATATTATTACCAAATGTCACAGACTGTCAGGATATGTAAGCATGTAACACACATAGAATTGTTTTAGGATTTTAGGATTGTTTAGGATTTGCAGAATTATTGCATCTTAGAATTATAAGGAAGCTTCTGATTCATCCTTATATAGATGTTGGGGAAAGAGACTAAGGGTGATTAAGTAATCAGCCCAAAGTCCTATTCCACATTCTAGCAGGTTTTAGAATGGAGCCTGAATGTGCAGCTCTTCTTGTGGTTGGTGCGGATGTTTTCATTTACTCCTTGGAGGTGGGGAATTTGGGTTTGTGTCTTCATGGAGGAGGTCACCATTGACCTGTGTTTGGGAAGAGCCGTGGGCGGCAGGGACTGTATCTCAAACAGGCTGAGCAGCTGGAACTGTAACATCAACCTACAGATTCTTTTCTCCTCTTTCCTAAGTGAGGTGAACTACATTCTGTTTCTTACTTTACTTCCTTGATTTGATGGAGCTCATTCTCTTAGTAACTTCCTGAGAAACGTGATGAAGAAGTTGGGTTTTTTTTAGACCTTGTCAGAAAACATGTATGTTCCAAATGTGTAACTTACAGTCTGGCTGTGTATAGAAATCTAGATTATTGTTTCAGTCAGGATGGAATAGGTGATGCTGTGACAGATTAACTCTGAAATTTTAGTGTGGAAAGAGAGGTTATTTCTTGCTTTCACCAAGTCTGCACTAGGCCTGAGGCTCCTCTGGCGTCTTCCTCGGAATCTGGTCTGCTTTCACCTAGAGTTCACCCCATGACGAGGAGTCGCTGTGAGTGCGTGCCATATTGAAAATAAATTTTCTCTTGGTATTTTGAAGACGTTGTACCACCGACTTCCAGCTTTCAGTATTACTAAGTTAGTAATGCTGTCTGTTTCCTAATCATTTGTATGTTATTTTTTTCTCTTTTTGGAGAAGCTTTTAGTACCATTTTATTATCTCCTAAAAATTTCATCACGGCATGCCTGATTATCGTTTGTTCTCTGTATTGAGCCTTCCATGGATCCTTTCAGTCTTGAGCTTTGTTGTTCAGTTACAGGAAAATTTTCAAGGTTTCTTTTATCATTTCTTCTCTTTCATTTTCTTCTCTTGACTGAAGCTCTTCTTCATCAGATATTGGACCTCTTGGATCAATATCTTGATTTTTTTTTTTTTTTAAGTTTTTTCCCTCAATGTGTAAAGCCAGATGAAAAAAAGCAACAGACATAGATCTTTGGGCCTTACTTGTTACTAGTTTTTTAAAAAAAGAAAAATTTCAAAGGGTCTTTTCTACTGGGTACTTTAACCAATGAGTCCATTCTGTGTCATAGGCAGTAAGAGTTGTGAAATTGTTTAGGAACTTGCTCAGTTTTTAGCTGTTACATCGGTAAGTGTCTAGACAGGTATAAAAAGGTACACGCTAAAAATTTAGTATGTATATACCTAATAGTGATAAACTGGTATATAAGTCTGCTACCTTTTTTCAGTTTTTAAATAATATTTTATTTTATGTATTTATTTTTTAAAAGATTTTATTTATTCATGAGAGACCGAGAGAGAGAGAGAGGCAGAGGGAGAAGCAGGCTTCATGCAGGGAGCCTGATGTGGGACTCGATCCCGGGACTCCAGGATCATGCCCTGGGTCGAAGGCAGATGCTCAACCACTGAGCCACCCAGGCATCCCAATATTTTATTTTTTATTTAATCTCTGCACCCAATATGGGGCTTGACCTTATGACCTAAGATCAAGAGTCACATGCTCCACCACCTGAACCAGCCAGGTACCCCAAGTGTGCTTTTTAAATCTTTAAATGTTAGGGCAGCCCGGGTGGTTCAGCGGTTTAGCGCCGCCTTCAGCCCAGGGCCTGATCCTGGAGACCCGGGATCGAGTCCCATGTTGGGCTCCCTGCATGGAACCTGCTTCTGTCTCTGCCTCTCTCTCTCTCTCTTGAATGAATAAATAAAGTCTTTAATAAATAAATAAATAAATAAATCTTTAAATGTTAAAATCTGAATTAAAAAATTAAGGAGGAGTGAATTTATTTTCATTAGTCAATTCTTATAAGCCAGTTCCCTTAACATTTTGAATGATTGGATTTATAAACATTTTCATGCTCAGCTTAATAGAAATGTATTGAACACAGTTAAAAAGATGCTTAGAAATGCTCATGTAAAATTTTGTGCTCTGCAGGTTAAAAAGTCTGCATATTTTTATTTCTGCTGAATCAGATACTTTTAGAGCTAGACATGCTTTAGATGTCTACCTCTTTATTTTATGTAGGAAAACAGACTCACCAAGGAGATAGTCAGTGTCAAACAGCAAACTAGTGCTATCCTATATTTTTGTGTCAGTAGCCTACAGAGTGGGAGAGAATCACCTGAAAATTTATTAGAGCTGTAATTATAAATTTATTCTTAATTCATTAACTTTTAAATTAAATAACAATTTTAAGTCCATTTTTCTTAACTTGGTTATCTTTGAATTTCTTTATTTACCTTTGTAACCATGCAAATATTCATGTTTTAGTTTACTTTTTATTTTTATTATTTCTTAAAGATTTTATTTATTCATGAGAGATAGAGAGGCAGAGACGTAGGCAGAGGGAGAAAGGAAGCTCCATGTGGGGAGCCTGATGTGGGATTCAATCCCAGAACCCAGGGATCAGGACCTGAGCCAAAGGCGACGTCAACCACTGAGTCACCCAGGTGTCCCCAAGATTTTATTTATTTGAGAGAGAGACAGAGATAGCGAGAGCATGAGCATGGAGGAGAGGAAGCCTGACACTGGGCTTGTTCCCAGGACCCTGGGATCTTGACCTTAGCCAAAGGCAGATGCTTAACTGACTGAGCTACCCAGGCACACCTCATTACTTTTTAAAATAACACTTATGTAAGATTTGGAGACCCTAAAAAGAAGTCAAAGCAATTCTATTACACTTACTATTTTTCATTTATTTTTATTTGCATGTAGTTGTTAAGAACTGTGATGAGTAGGAGATTTCACCCAGTGTGCAAGCCTGGCAGTTTCATGATGTTGCCAGAAGATAAGATGCTCCTGGGTCAGAGAGATGGGACTTCATTACTCGGCACTATCAGCATTTGTGCCAATTCCCTAAGCACCAGTGCCATGTGGAGAAAAGCATGGAGGGGCCAAAGGAAGAAGCAAGGAAACAAATTGGGAGGCAGTTAAGTGATGCAGATGAGAGAGGATGGTAGCATGGGGCGGCGTGCTGGCAGCCACAAGTGATTGGACTCTGTGTGGTACATGAGACAGGACACTGGGTGTGATGTGTGAGAGAGAGGAGCCATGGATGATTGTGGAGGTTTTGATCTGAGCCGTTGGAAGAACGGAGTAACCATAGACTGAAGTGGGAAAGGCTGCAAGTAGAGCAGGTGTGGGGCTCGGATGGAAAAGATCCAGAGTGTAGTATTGAGCGTGTTTAGGCTCAGGTATCCCGAAGACCATGAAGACCATGGCAGTGTCAGGAAGGGAGTGGACTTAAAACTAGTCTAACTAGAGATGTGGATTTGGGAGTAGAGGACACATCAGTGCTATTTCAGGCATGAGATTGAGTGAGGTCACTGGGGCGTGAGTGTAGTTGGGGAAAAAATGTCCAGACATGAGTGCTGGGCTGTCCTGCGTGTCGTCTGAGAAGGACTGATGAGCTGTGTCCCATGCTGCTGGGAGAGCATCTCAGGTAAGACCCGAGAATCGTTGCCAGATTGGCAGTGGACACGTCACTGGGGACCTTGACTCGAGTAGTTCCTGTCTCTGATGTGGGCAGAAGGGAAAACAGGAGGAAAGGAAGAGTAGGCCTCCAGTAAGCACGTCTTTCCCAAGGTGTTTTGTTGCAAAGGGGATTAAAGAGACAGAACCAGAGTTGGCAGGGAAGGTAGGGTTGAGACAGGTTTGTTCGTGTATCTGAGAAATGATGTTTTTAGAAGCGATACAGTAGAGAGGGGGCCTTGGGAGGTGAGGGAGATCTAGTACATGAATGGAGGGGGCCCCGAGGAGAGGGGCATGGATCGCTAGAGCAGCGGGATGGTTTTGTCCAAAGTTGTCTTCCCGTGTCCTGATTTTCTCAGTGAAGTAGGAAGCGAGGCCACGGGCTGAGATTAAACAGAGAGGGGATCAGTGTTACGGCGCCAGCAAACACGTAGAACGGGACGGTGGATGCATCAGGGAGATGTGGTTTGACTTCCAGGCAGCCTGAAGGCTCCACCTGACGTGGAGCCATGGTCATGACTTTCAGTGAGACCAGGCAGAGTGGTGTGTGTTTGTGCAGCCACACTTCCCTGTGCGGGGCAGGCGTGGTGTGGGCAGAGCCGGAGTTCAGCGGTGTTGTCGTTTTGCCAAGACAGTATTTCAGAGTAAGAGTGGGAAAGGGAATTGAGGGTACTTGCTAGGGAATGAAGACAATTGAGCGTGGAATAGAAGCTGAACAGGGAGTAAAGATGGTCATTGAAAAGCTGGTGAG